TCCGACTCATGGTGACCCTATAGGACAGAGCAGAACTGCCCCCTAGGGATTTTTCTTTACGAAGCGGACTGCCCCATCTTTCTCCCGCAGAGCGGCTGGCGGGTTCGAACCGCCGATGAGTTCCTAACCACTGCTCCAGCAGGGCTCCTCCTGCATCTCCACGGCTAGGCAAATTCCCACGAGGTCAGGCCGCTGGCTGACAGGCAGTCATCTCTCTGTCCCACATCCCTTGGCAGACCTCAAGGCAAACGCAAGGGGGCCGGGCCGGAGGGAAGGCAGTGAACGGGGTGGACTCACACGCTTTACAATGGACTGAAAATCTAGCCCTGGCTCTGTCACCTCCCACCAGCCACATCTCCACCCTTGCCCCCAACCAGCGACCCTGGCAGGATGGCCTGTAAGGCCTGAAGCAGAGGGACCCCCTCTCCACTGGCACGTGCTTTCCAATGCGCCTCTCCGGACAGGACCCTTGCCGCCTGAAGCAGCAATCAGCCAAGTGGGCAGAAGACGCTTCAGGATGTGACTCTTCTCTCCCAGTGACACTCAAGCCTGTCGGACTGCCCACTGTCTCAGGAGGAGGTGCCGTGGGTCCCCCCAGACCCTAGCCAGGCCCGTGTCCTCTGCAGCAGGTTCTCCGTCCCGGCCCAGCTCTCTGCCTCCAGGTGAGCAGCTCTGCAGGGCCTGAGCTCCTCCTGGCAGCTCGCACGGTCACTTCCTCAGCCACCGCACCACTGACCGGCTCTCAGGACACAAGCAGCCCAGAATCTCCCCGAGAGTTCAGATGTGTGTAAGAGGAACGCTTCGCCCCAAATGGAGTTTGTTACGTGGAACTCAATTTATACTGGCTTTACAAGTCCTATACCTGAAGCAGGGGCAGAGCCAGGTTTTGCTGGGCCTGCTCTGGGGTGATGTGAAATTACAGGACCACAGAAAAGGCCAGTGCGGGTGAGGAGCCCCAAAGCGGAAGCTCCACAGCCCGCCTCCGCCTTTGCCTTGGGAACTGAAGCCCCTGGGGGACTGTGCTCCCTGTGTGGACAGGATGTGTCACTCCTGAGCAGCAAGGGTTGAGGACAGGCGGGAGCTCTGGAGCCAGAAAGGCCTGGGTTCAGACACAGCTGTCTCTGCTGGGTGATCTTGAGCACAAAGTTCCCCAACCTCTCAATGCTTCAGTTTTCCTCTCTGAATCAAAGGTGACAAGAATGCATATTTCCCACGTGCTTTGTGAGGACATGCTTTACATAACACATGGGATGGCATTTAATCCTGCGCACTCAATGAATGACGGATCAGACTCCCATTCAACAGTTTTCATTAGAATCGGATGTACCTGATTTAAATCTATCTTATAAAAGGGCAAGTCAGTTATTAACAACCACCACCAAGGGGTAAAGAGCATGGCGGCATATATTCAACGGAGTATAAACGCACAGAGTCCCCGAGTAGTGCCAACAGTTAAAGCGCTTGGCTGCTAACAGAAAGGCTGGAAGTTCGAGTCTACCCAGAGGTGCCTTGGAAGAAAAACCTGGCAATCTACTTTAGAAAACTCAGCCATTGAAAACCCTATGGAGGACAGTTCTCCTGAGATACATGGGGTTGTCATGAGGAGTCAACTCAATGGCAACTGGTGGTTTTATAAATGGATAAAAACCACATGCAAAATAGAACCACACTTCCTCTAAACCAGGAGCTCCCAATTCTTCTTCTCCCTCAGCATTCCCGACGGATATGACACGTTCCAGTTAACAACCAGGGCTTAAGACAGCAGCGAGAGGAGGGTGTCATCTGCAAAGTTCCCAGGTCATTTTTGCCTCAGGTGATCCATGTTCTCCTCCAACCTATATCCCATCTGTCTTAGTCATCTAGTGCTGCTCTGACAGAAATACCACAAGTGGATGGCTTTAACGAACAGAAATTTATTCTCTTACAGTCCAGTAGGCTACAACTCCAAATTCAGGGCGCTGGCTCTGGGGGAAGGTTTACTCTCTGTCGGCTCTGGAGGAAGCCCCTTGTGATGCATCAGTCTTCCCCGGTCTGGGAGCATCTCAGCACAGGAACTTCAGGTCCAAAGGATGCGCTCTGCTCCTGGCACTGCTTTCTTGGTGGTGTGAGGTCCCCCACTCTGTGCTTGCTTCCCTTTACTTTTATCTCTTAGAAGATAAAAGGTGATGCAGGCCACACCCCAGGGAAACTCCCTTTACACTGGATCAGGGGACGTGACCTGAGTAAGGGTGTTACATCCCACCCTAACCCTCTCTAACATAACCTAATCTTGCCTCATTAACCACAGGCTGAGATTAGGATTTACAACATATAGGAAAATTGTATCAATCACAAAATGGAGGACCACACAATACTGGGAATCATGGCCTAACCAAGTTGACACATATTTTGGGGGGACACAGTTCAATCCATGACACCATCCCCTATAACCCATCCCCAGTCCCAGCGGAGAATCACACTTCTACAATAATTAAGACAAAATACTGAATTTATTCAGTTGACTTGACCAATCACATTGGACAAAATGATTTCATTTGCAGAATGTAAAAAGATACTTTAAGAAGGGGTACTCACATACTTTAAAACATCAAAAATATATATATATATAAGAGTTTCATGAAAGCATTTGATATAAACATACACAGTATGCTATTTTCATATACCAATGCTTGAAAGAAAGTAGTCAAAAGAATTACAAAAGTAGCATCATCAAATATTTACAAAAGTTTTCATTTTTCTTTCAGGTTACACTCTCATCCTTTGGGATGTACAGAAATTATGTGGTTGACATAGTTTTATCCACATTCAAAACATCGTGTTTTAAATGTTCTAAGCATAGCGTGTACAGTACGAAATGTTTCCATAGGAACGTTAACAGGACGTGTCAATAGTGACGTGCGGTGAGATGGTACCTAACCCACCAGTCAGCCATGTTCAAGACACTTGTTCAGCTTATTGCTATAATACTCAAGTTATCCTATTTACCCCAAAGACAATGAATTCAATTTGTACTAGAATCTACCGACAAAGGCTCAAAGAGTTATAAGATTTACACCAAACAATTCTTCTGAGTTAAATGAAGGTCCCACACTTAAATTAGAATCAAGGAGAGTCATTTTCAGCTAGTAGATGATCCTTGTGATGAAAAATCTGAGCAAAGTGCGAAGTGAATGGAATCAGTCACGAGAACAATCCTTCCGTGAACTCCCGAGGTCCTTCGCGTCTCACCACCTGAGAAATGAGGACCTGGGGAGCTAATGTGCACCAGCGTCACTTCACAATTGGATACACAGGGGCTGCCTGGAGCT